AAAGGTGGCCAGGTCGTCACAGCCAGACAGTGACCTTTGATGTTTATTGTTCTCTGGTGGAGTTGTCAGGCACACATCAAAGTCTTAGGCCTCAGGCAGTGGTAGAGATCCACAGAAACAATAAGACCGCAGCTCTGTTATGTTCCAAAAATGGGTAAAGGTAATTATAATCATTGTTTCTGGTGATCTTTGGTCAGCCAGACGGCCGGTCATCTTACTACATCAGCTGCCATGAGATTTTGGAAGACCTCAGGAGCTCAATCTCAGTCATTTAAACTCAGCATTACTGAAGTGGGCCAAGGCAGGTGTTCTTTAATACCTTTCAGCTCTATTGCAACAAAGTCTAAGAGCGCACCACAAAAAAGAACAGAAGCCCTGGATGAAGAATAGATGAATAACCTGATCTGGCCTCACGTACCGCGTTCAGGGGAGATTTCACATCCTCCACCTCTATCCCTCCTTTAGCTGCGGCTTGTGGATGTCAGACACCTTAAGGCCACAAGAGGCAAGTCATTCTCATATTTATATCCTGCAAGTACAAATTTAGCCGACGTAAACACAGCTTGTTGTTCCACAGCTGGGCTGAAAAGGGATCCCGTCAGGGGCAGACGTACCTGCAGGTCACGTGGCCACAAAATGACACAGCAGCCGTCTGACCACTGATGACAGCCACCTGAGCCCGGCTGACACACCGACCCACTAATAGTGCGGCTGGTAATCTGTTTGTACCAGCTCAATGTGAGCAGATTGTCAAATGGATGAGAGCTCCCTGTGATCCTTGAATAGATCACAAAGGGATACAAGTGCCTATTGTCATCACTTGGCTCAAAATATGTGCTTATGTTGCTTGGTACTGTCAATTTTGCTCCCTCATGCAGTGAGACAGCACAGGGCAGGCCTAAGTGCTGCTCTGGGCCAAAAGGAAACTACTTCTGTGGAGCCTTTTTTTTTTCTCCACATCTCCACAGTGTGTGTTTTTACATAAATGCTGCATCTAGAAATGTAGCAATTATATGTGGACAATAACTTTATTACACCACCAGCCCAAGTGCTGGTTGTTAGAGGCTGAATATAGAGCTGGATTAACCCGGTAAAAGGCCCTGGGCAGAAATAAGATGTGATGTGATCTTTCACTTTATCTGAGAACTGTGGATGCATCAAGTTTGTAGTTTGTGGTAAATGACACTTAGTGAAATGCACTATGTAAGTGCAGTTTATATAGAAATAAGATTGTTGACTGTCATGTAACAGTACCACTGAGTCACCCACAGTGGCCACGCCCTCAATTATGCAAATCTTTAAGCCTTAATACAATTGGAGTACATCAGTTATATAAAAAGTCACACTAATTCAGTTGTCATGAATGTAAAAATTAGTTAGAGACCACAACTGTTGTTTCTTTTACCAGACTGTAAACATGTTTATTTCTGCTGTAAAGCTGATCATTTTTAACATCTATCTAAGTGAATTGACTCACTTTTTGGAGCCAGCCTCAAGTGGACATTCAAGGAACTGCAGGTTTTGGTTCTTCACTGTTGGCTTCCTGTCACAGCCCTGGAGGCTGCTGCTTGGTCACCACTCTCAACTTCACTTTGAAGATACGTTCTTAAACAAATTCTCACGTTCGTATTTCAGTTTTTGTACTGATTAAACAAGATATATGGTGTTAATTAGTGAGCTTTGGAAGTGCTGCCAGATGACAATTGTTTATTTTGTCCAGGAAGGAACCCAGCCTTGAATAAATAATCTACACAAAGCACTGACCTGCATTAAGATGAACGTGTGCACATTACATACACAGTTTCATATGAAATGACTGATCATCATATACTAAAAAGAAAAAAGGATGAAGATGGAAAGCTATTTTCACTTGTCTTTTCAGGGGAATCTTTACTATGTGAAGGTCTACGAGGTGACATATGTTGTGAGCTGTTAACACATTGCAAACATTTTTTCAACAAAGCCAAACTAGATATGAACTGTTTGTTGTAACCTGCAAAACCTCTCACATTCCACCCTTAAAACACCCGGGTCTGGATTCTAAGAGTATGTTGCAACAGGGTTAGGTCACCGGATCACCAAGACTGCAATGAAAATCTCACAAAGAATCAAGGGGCTCTGCTTTGGCACACGTCATTTTGATGGATTTAGTTTTTTTGCAAGTGTCTTTGTGCTCCTGGGAGATTAGAAACATGATGGAGTGCATTTTTGTTGTCATACTTAAGCTTCCCTAACGCCGCAGGAATGAGTTATAAAAACTGGAAGGGTCAGTAGTTAAAAACAACAGGGTCAAATGAACATCTAATCCTTCTGAGGCAAAACACTTCACCTGCACCTACTGCTTTGGCAAGAGAACCAAAAAAAAAAGTTAAACCTTTTACGTGTATAGTGAGTGTAGCAAAGCATTGCACTGAAAATAGTGACATTATGTAAAAACCACATGGAACCAGCTGCCACAAGATGCAGCATAATACGGAGCTGTATGTTGTGGGCATTATTCATCACAGTTCAATGAAAATCGCCTGAGAACAGAGATGATGTTTCAGTGATGACGCAGGACAGCAGGGGTCCCACTCAGCCAAGAGGAGCCGGCTGTAGTCCACTGTTCATCCAGATAATTTGTGCAGTTAAAAGAAGCATATATCCATGTGTTTACTGGGTGTTTATTACTTTTTATGGGTGTGTGCCAAGGAGCTCTCATCCATGCAGCCTGGCAGTAATTATAGTTGTGATTCTGTTCTGTTGACTTAGGTGGACAAGTGCAAGTCATCCAAATGTGTGCCATGTACACATTTTTTTTTCTCTCTGTTTACTGCCAAACACGACTGTCGCAGAGATCTTGGTAAACACACCAGGTCAAGGCAATAATGGTTTCCAAAATGCTTTATTTGTGGCGTGTAGCTTCACATGCACAGGAGAGTTCAGTTAATCTTTAACTTTTGTAGTCTTTCTACTCTTTTCTGTCACTTTTTTCTTTGTTACCATTTCAATATTTCTCTTTATATCTCAAATGATGTTACTGGATTTAGCAAAAGTGTAGCAGCAAAAACATACAAAACATTGATTCAATTAAGGAGAAACTATTGCTCTGCATAAATCAACTGAATCTCGACTGATATTGGCCGTAGACTAATTAGTAACATCGTAAATCTGACATAAATTTATCAGCAACACACTGACTGAGAAGAAACACATGTCACTGTCAGTGGTAACATTGTTAGCTTATATAGTCATACACTCATAGATGGAAAATCAGTGATAAAAAGCATATCTGCTGAAGTCCAGTAATTAGGTACGATTACATCCTAAATGCAAACTAACAGTTTCAAACCTCAACAGTTCACAGGTAAAAACGATACTTTGCTTATCAGCTTCAGTTACTGTAGTTGCAGATAAGACTTTATGTGTAAAACATCCAATAAGTTTGTAAGATATGATTAAGATGAAACTGCCCATCAGCGTATAAAGTCGTTACAGTTTCAGTGTTCTCACATGACAGCCGTCTGTAATGTAGTAATGCAACACATCAGTTCTAGATTCAGTATTCACATCACAGTTGTTAGTCAGCTACAGTTGATGCTTGTATTTATTTATTTAAAAGTGCCATCTTGATTCTCTTAGACACTTATTTGCGTTAGACATTTTTCTGTGAAGTGTTCTTTCAACTGGTTGATTAAGGGGCTTTTTTGTTTTGTTTATTTTTTGGCCTTTTTGCCTTTATTTGATAGTGAGACAGTGATAGAGATAGTGATAGAGAGTGAGACAGGAAAGTGGGAGAGAAGAATGGGGGAAGGACCTGCGGAAAAGAGCCATGAGCGGGATTGGAACTCATCGGGGACTATAGCCCCTGTACATGGGACGTCAGCTCAACCAGGTGAGTTATTGCAGCGTCAATTAAAGTATTTATTAAAGAAGACCCAACAAGAAATATGTGTATGTCTTCCTATTAGTACAGGAAGAAAATCTGTGCTGATATGTGGTCATATGTTTAATTGGTAACTGACAACGACAAGACAGTGCATCTCAGGTGATGCTGCTTAATCATGCAAAACTAATTAGTGTAACAAATTAGCAAGGTAATACACTGTATCCTCTTTAAATATTTTCCTTTTTTGAATAGGAATGCCAACATTGTAGTTTTTACAGACTAATGCATCAGTACTAGACTAATATGCTAATAAATATTATTAAATAGACAATACATTTAAAAATAAAAACAAAGCTTGCTCATAAGGAATCCAGTGAATCCTTGGATTTGTTGGGGTTTCGTGTACATTTTTGCACTTTAATTCTAAATTAGTTGGGTTAATCTCCACGATTATTGATACTGAAGATCATTTTTGTCGGGTTTTAATCCTCAATGTTTAAATTTCTCAGGTAAATTCACATCATAAATCGCACTGTGGGCTCCTAACCTTTATATTTTAACTTGATCGGGTAATTTACAACCCCAGTATCGTTTTGTCTCATGGAATGTGTGAGTGGAATGATAATAAGCAGCAGTAATTCTATTTATGTAGGTGCTAGTTTGTTTTTTGTTATTAGCATTTCTCCATTAACACTTCAGCTTCAGTAAGATTTTGAATGCAGGATTTTTTTTCCTCCCATGTTACAGAGGTGGAAGAATTTTCTGAGCAGCACATATATTATATTATATATATATATATATTCTGATGACAGTGATCATTCCTGCAGAAAGAAGTCAACATGTGCTGACTGTGGAAGGTAAACAGGCTTTCACACAACAGCTCACCAACCTATGTGTGTGTGTGTGTGTGTGAGAGAGAAGGGCTAAAGGTGGGGGGTTTATCCGTGATGCTGTGACAATGACATCTTTTCACGCCGACCGACCTGCTCCGGTGTGTTACTGGCGGAAGGAGGGATCCGCGTTTGTTTTCTGCACAATGTCAATAAAGGCGGGTGACGTCACCGCGGGAGTATATTCGAGGCGGGACGTAAACAGAAGCAGCAGAGCTCAGCGAAGCGTCCACCGGAGCTGCTCCTGGCTCCCAGTTCCTGCGACACAACCGCTTTCTTTTTTTTTTATTCGGTTATTTCTTTCCAACTTCAGCTACAGTGATAGCTAAGTTTGGAAAGGAGGAAAAAGAAGAAAAAAAGGGGGAGAAACGCCGCGTCTTTGTCGGTTTTTTTTTAAATTAATCTTGTGCGCGAGTCGCTGCAGCCGTATCCTCGGTTGACCTCCTTTTTCTTGCACTACAATAGAGCAGCTAGCATAAAGCGACATTTGCTTTTAAAAATGGATAACTCTGGACCTAAGAAGACATGCTGTGGTGAGTTGTTTTGTTTTGTCATTGCATGAGAGGTTGCTAGTTATTTCCCAGGAGGAGCTTTTATATCAAAAGGAAATAAATCGTTAAAATGAATGTTTTCTCTGCAGAATCCATCACAGACTTCTTCACTTCGGCGAAATTTCTTATTTACATGGGACATGCACTGTCAACATGGGTGAGTATCCCATTGTATTGGTAGCCACACTATTGTCTATTCAAATGACACCCCATCATGCTGTAAATGTGGACGTGTTCATCATGATGACAGGCTAATAATGTGAAACAACGTGGATGTGTTATTGTTACACTACAGCTGTCATTACAATGCAAAATCACATGTTTTCCTTGTGTAGCTCACCACACAATCTTTACAAATAGCTCTAGAGGATAGATTCAGGAGAGGCATCTATGAGAATAAAAATAACACTTTTTATTGTTTGCTTGTTATTTATGCAGCATGTAAACCATGTTTCCTGTCAGCCCCCCACCTGGATATCTTGAATCAAATATCAGCCCGGGGCCTATAAATAATCAGAATTTGAATTCCCAGGGCGACCGAATGTGGAACTTTGCTGTGGCTGTTTTCCTGGTGGAGCTGTATGGGAACAGCCTGCTGCTGACGGCCGTGTATGGGCTGGTGGTGGCCGGTTCCGTGCTCCTGCTGGGGGCCATCATAGGGGACTGGGTGGACAAAAACCCCAGGCTCAAAGGTAAGGCAGCACAAAATCAATGCTGTTTTTTTTTTTTTTTTGAGACATTGACTGTAAACGCAGGTTGTCATAAATTAAACACCCAAATTTTGTAGATTAGATCCTGAATTTGAGTGTGGAGGACAATCGGTGGAGCTGGTACGAGTGTTTTCCTGCCCCACTTTAACAGTTAAATGCACCTTTTGTGGAATGCTTATCCAGAGGAATTTGGCACTATTAGATTAAACCAGGAACGGTGGGGGCATCTCGTGGAGGCACTGTTAATGAACTAGTGCAATCGGACAGAAACCTGTTGTCTTTGGTCAGATTTCTGTCCCTAATGCCGGTCGTGGTGTTTCCACAGTGGCCCAGACTTCGCTGCTCGTCCAGAACAGTTGCGTCATCGTGTGTGGGATACTCCTGATGGTTGTTTTCCAGTTCAAAGAACAGCTTGTGGAGCTTTACAATGGATGGATTCTGGTAAGATCTCCCCCCCTTACTGTCTCTTCCACACTCACTGTTTCAATGTGCTGTGATGGGCATTTTCACTGAAAGCATTTATATCCCTTTTCTTCAAGTGTAGCTCTCTGAAAGCTTCTGCTTTTACTGATATGAGCTCCAATGTCAATATGATTTAGGACTGCGGTTCAATATGCATAGTTACAGAGCTGGTTCGTAGTTATTTGGTTTTCAAAAGAATTCATTTGTAAAGCCTTTTAAAACTTTGATTAACTATTTTGAAATCACAGTAAAAACATAGCTTGCTGTGTTGCAAGCATAAATAATTAGATTTGCTTGTCACAAGGGAAAAAAGCACGAGAGTACACATACATGTCCGGCTATTGACAAGAGAGTTTGTGTGTTTGCAAGAGGCTTGTTTATACTTGTTGGACTATGTAACTCAACAAGAGCTCCACCACTTTAAAGACTCAGACCTGAGTCTGCAACTGACTGAGGCTGAGATGCAGAATTGCACGAGGAACACAAAAGCCCGTCTGTTGGGTCAATGCCTCCAACATTGCCCTCTGCATTTGTGGGACGCTATTGGGTCTTCAGAGAAAGAGGGCGATTTTTTTTTTTCACCATGTGAGAGAATTTAGAGGGCCGGCGGTTGTCGGGAGTGTTTGTGGAGGTGGAGAGAGGTTGGTGAAACAGGAGATTAAGTGTTGAACGCTGTGTAGTCAGCAGGTTCTTCAAGGCCTGTCACATGACAGAGAAGGAAAGAGAGGGAGAGCAGAAATGTGACCGAGCTTGTTGAAGCATTTTTTTGTTACTATTCTGACCAGAGCAGCTGCATTACAATGTCGATACAGACCAACTAACAGAACAGCCAGCAGCCACGTCTGAAGGGTTCAAATGAGGCTTCTGGTTTTCAGATCTTCTGTTTTTTTCTACAAGAACTTATTGATTTGTCTTTAGCTTATATACCATGACATGTGACAGCAGCACTTGGTCTTTGCCTCTGGTTAGTTGATTTCTTTTTTTTGTCATCAGTACTAGGGTTAGGCCCTTGAAAGTATCGATTACCCTAACCGTTAGGGTAATCTGTACTTTCAAACTGACGGCTATTCAACTCTAAGTCTCATTGAACAGCTGTGTTTTGATGAGACAGTGTTAGAAAAGGTTAAAACCCATATTCCCCATTTCCACAAATACATCATTTCTTACTGTGTCTAATTCTTTATAATTGTGTCCTTTTCTATATCTACATTTAAATATTAACTGTGGTGTAACTTCATATTTCACTCACCTCCAGCAAATCCTTTAAAAAAGAAAATCCCAAACCAACAATGTGCGGCTGTGTAGTTTGACTTTCAGTACTTTACAACATTCCTGATCCATCTGAGGCACTCACACCCAAGTCTGTTTGCACTTAGTGAATATGTTACACTTAAAAAATGTGGTGCAAATATATTGTTTGTACTAGAAAAAGATTGTAAAAAGCGTCATTCAAACAGGAGAAAACGGTGTTATTAGTTGGGGGACTATTTTTAGCTGCAGATGAATACACATTTGGAGCTCTCGTTAGTGACTTTGGCAGCAGGACAGTGTATGTGGGACTGAATCCAAATAAACCACAGAGTGTGTTCATCATAATGGAGGAACATGTCACTCTTTGTAAGTGTGGTTGCATTTTAAAGAGCTCTGTGCTACAGACACACGAGATACAGC